ATGGTGAAACAAGTTAAAGTGTGTAATGATTTGTGATACATCCCCCAATTCTCTCTCTCATCATCTCTCCAATCTCTCTATTTGAAGGCCTAACACTAGTTCTGGGATACCCTGTATATATGTATATTCGTACATGCAAGCCTCACCCTCTGTATATGTCTTCAAAATATGCTTTACTTTAAACTTGAAGTAAATCATTTATTGTTTCAACTATATTATTTATAAATGTCGATAAAAAAATAGCGCTGCTTTGTCTGAATATTTTTGTTTAGCTCGCGAACGTGTAAGTAAGGACATTCTGAGAAGCTCAAATATTACGAATTATCTTCCATCTTTAAGCAAATATAGCAATTAAGATCGAATAACACCGTCGAGATCAAGAGAAAGAACGAGAAAAAGAGTTGAGGAAAGTAGGGTGAATTGGAGCGTAACCACGTTGCCGAGCGAGCGAAAGAATTAACCCTGGTGTGTTTTTTCTTAATTTTCCGTGCTCTCCCTTTCCCATTCCATACGTTGAGAATCGACCATCGAGTGCGAATGGAATCGGCCGGTTGCCGAAGGCCATTCTATTTGTCAAACTCTTCAATTAATTTCACGCCGATATTCCACCGAGCTCCAGGATCGTTTATTTTAATTTTCTTCTTCTTCTCACTAAAAGAATCTTTTCAGTTTAGTTAGCACAGATTTTCTTCCCTTTTTCTGACGCTCTTATGGTAAGAAATAAGAAAGGGGGGGGGGGGAGGAACTAATGAACCCTTTTACTCAAACAATTAAATCAAACGACAGTGTAGGAAAAATAATGTTACACAAACCTGATACTGACTGTTAAAATCGTTCTCCAATACTGGACGACTTTATCTCCTTTTGTTCATTCCGATGTACCAACAACGAACTCGATAATGACTTCAGATTAATTTCTCTATTATAATTTGTTTATGAAACAATTACAGGCTAACGTTTATATAACATTGTTTTCTTAATTTTTTTCACGGAACGTACTGGTGCAGTTTGATCGTTTAATTCGGGGACACTCTATATAAATGGATAATTATGAATTGGAAGAAGATGAAAATTAAACATCTAGAGAGAATTATTCACTGCTTTAAAATTAATATTCTTGGGAGTTGTAAATAAAGATTTTTCGAGACGACTTACGGTCTATCGATTGGTTAGCTTCAGATGAACTTGAAATTGTTTTAGATAGACTTCAGTTGGATCACTCGTGATACTGGTAGGCTGTTTCATGGTCAGCATTTACTTTTCCATTGCAGATCGTCTCGTCGTTGAACTCCTCCAGATTCTTCACAATACTAAAATACGATGTAAAATAATTTTATTTAATT